GGTTGGTGCACTTTTCAGGAATTGCTTCTTTAGATGCAACATATTCATAATTTATATTTTTTCCTTTCAAATGTACCAAATAACGCCTACAAGGCTGACACACATTTGTCTCACTGAAAGAAAACTAACATTCACTATTTGCTTGTGCCTGGTTTAAACCTTTTAATATTTTAATTTTTTTAGAACAGCAACAGAAGACAGAGTGGAAACAAAGTCCCAACAACAGTTTGCTCCATAGTCAGTCTCTTCTCAGCTTTGGCACTGCGTCAACCTGCACTCTCATCAAATGACAAGTTTCCTTTACGTAGGAACCTGAGCTATCTACTCTATGGCACCTGGACGCTTCCGCATCAGCGGTAGAAAAGTAAAATCGGCTCAAAGCCCAAAACATGACTAGCTCCACGCGCAGCGCAGGCCTCGCACTGCGTCTCACTTGGTCCTACTGGCGCGGATGGCGCGGCAGATGTCGACCCACGGCTGCCCCAGGGTGGCGCACAGGCCGCACGCGTCCAGGCTGGAGCCCTGCCCCGCCACGTGCACGCCGTGAGGCATGCCGCGGGTGTGGGCCAGGCTCAGCGCCAGGCTGGGCGCCAGGCTGGGCGACGTGGGCGCGTGGATGGGGACCGGGGCCGGCAGGCTGTGGTGCCGCAGGCGGAGCAGGCCCAGGTCGTGGCCGAGGCCGTGCTCCGCGATGTGCTCCATCGGCTCGGGGGAGTAGTCGGCGGCGTGCAGCCCCGAGTCCGGCGTCCTCGGGGACGTGCTGAGGTGCGAGGACCGGCTGCTCTTGCCGCGCGACAGCGTGGACGTGGACGTGGAAGTGAAGTCCAGGTAGTCGGCAAAAAGTGCGGGGGCGGGGGGCGAGTCCTCAAAGTCCTCGATGGAGGCGTCGAGGAACTCGAGCTCGGGGCTGTCCGAGTCCGGATCCGGCTCCAGGTCGAGCCCCCCGCCGAGGCCGCTGGACCTCTGGAAGTTGGGTGGCGGCAGTGGCGGGGGGTCGATGACGGGCTCCTGGTACTCGGAGGGGCACGGCAGCGTGGGGGAGTACTCGCTGTACTCCGGGGGAGGAGAGTAGCTGGCGAGAGGCGCCGGCACTGCGGGCGAATAGTCCTGCAGGTAGCCGGCGGAGTAGCTAAGCGCTGCGGACGAAAGCAGCGAGCCCAGCCCCGCGGGGCCGGGGGTGGTGCCGGGCGTGGGCCCGGCGGAGGGTGGGGCATTGACGGTACTTGGCGTCAATGCGGCGAAAGATTTGGGACTTCTGCTCCTGTGCTTGGACCGGGTCGGGCCTGTCTGGCGGGTCTGGCCTACGCCCTGGCTGGCGCCCTGGCTGGTCACCCTGGCGAGGTACTCGGCCACCTGCTGCAGGGTGAGGGGCGGGCTGCCCGCGCGAGGCGAGTGCGGGTCGGGGTGCGTGGTCGACCGGCGCCTCGTCTTGGGGTTGGGCAGCGTGTGCGTAGCCAGGGGCGAGTGCTTCATGCCCCGCGCCGCCTTGGAGTGGCGTGCCAGCGTGCTGCAGCGCGCGCGCACCGGCGACACGTCGCGGCGCCCGTCGGCCACCTCCAGCGCGGAGGCCGAGGCCGGCGCCGAGGTCGGGCCCGGGAGCGGCAGAGACTGCGGCTGTGACGGCGGCGTCTCCGCGCTGCGGGCCTTCTCCAGCTTGGGCGACGGGCTCTTGGTGGCGCGCGTGCAGGGGAAGGCGAACTGCAGCGAGCGGCTCTTGGCCGTCGACGACGACGACGTGGTGGTGGTGGTCGCGGCCGACGACGTCGAGGCCTGGGTGGCGGTCGAGGCCTTGGACGACCCCGACTCCACCAGCTGCAGCAGGTCCGTGCTCGACGTTTGCGCGTGCGACTGCGCCGGCCGCAGCGGATGCTTGGCGGCGTGCTGCGGCTGCAGCTGCGCGCCCAGCGGCGGCCACAGCGGCCACTGCCAGGGCGGCGAGTCGGCGCGCGGCGCAGGCTGGGGAGAGTCCCCGAGGCTGCGGCCGAGGCTGGGGAGCGAGCACGGTGAGCCCGACCCGGTCAAGTACTTGAGCAGGAAAAGTCAGTCCGCTAGGAGACCCTGTGACACGGCTATTAGCTGGTCCTTGAGGATGCGGAACGACGGTCGATCCTCGGGGCAGTGGCACCAGCACTTTCTCATCACCTGAGGGGTCAGAAGATACCGGAATTAGTCGAGAGCGCCCCGCCGCCATCACTGCAACGCGCTGGACAAAGCAGCAGCCCGACACTTGCCTCATAAACCTCCTTGAAGCACGCCTTGGGTCGCTCCAGGATGATCCCCCGCTGCACTCGATCGACAACCTCGGTGTTCTTCAGTCGGCCGTACGGCATCTTGCCGCAGGTGAACACTTCCCACATCAGGACTCCTGCAACACGAACATTGATTGAGCGACGTCACGATCACGCCGGCCAAGCGCGGGGGAGAGCGGCACACGCGAGCACTTACCGTACGCCCACACGTCAGACTTGGAGGAGAACCGGGTGTAATTTAACACTTCCGGGGGAGCCCACTTGATTGGGAACTTCGTACCTCCTGAGCTAGTGTATTGATCATCTAGGACGTATCTGCAGGCAAAGATAAGGTGGCATTAGTGACGACCCAAGGGACGACCCAGGGGACGACGCTCACTCGCATCGTCCGACAGATACACACCTGGCGAGGCCGAAGTCGGCCACCTTGACTACGTTCTCGGAGCCGACGAGGCAGTTCCGCGCGGCCAGGTCGCGGTGGATGTAGTTATGCCGCTCCAGGTAGGCCATGCCCTTGCACACCTGGATGCACATGTCCAGCAGGAGGCCGACGTTGCCGCCGAGGGTGGACTCGTGGCGCCGCAGGTAGTTGAGCAGGGAGCCGTGCCGCATGTACTCCGTCACGATGTAGATGGGCCGGTGTTTGCTGCAGACGCCGTAGAGCTGCACCAGGTTCTGGTGCTGCAGCTTGCTGCGGGGCAGAGGGGGGCGGAGAAGGTTTGTGAGACGGGTAGTTCCAGTCAGAGAAAACAATTTAGTGTTCACCCTTATAAAAAAAATAAGATTAAGTTTTTTAAAAAATAAGAAAAAAATCGAGTAAGAGTAAAGGACAAACCAAAATCAAATACAAAATCAAATAAAATATAAGAAAAAAAATCAACCCCCCAAAAAGATCAAGAAAAATCAGAAAAATCGGTACATAATGCTTGAATTTATCGTGAATAAGCACCCCTCGGGTTTGTGTCAGGGTTAAGGGAAGCGTGGCGCTGGTGCAGCAGTTGTGATCACAGGCCGTGAGTGATGCTGATGCTTACGTCATAACTTTGGCCTCCTCGATGAAGTCATCCTCCGACATGGTGCCCTCCTTCATCATCTTGACGGCCACGTCGATGGAGCCCCGCCACTTGCCGCGACGCACCACGCCGAACTGGCCGGAGCCCAGCTCCTCGAGCAGCATCAGCTCCTGGGGGTCGATCTCCCATTTGTCTGCGGAACAAGCAACACAGCCATTTGTAATCATTTCCCGAGGCTGGAGCGCAGCGCAGCATCGCATGGGAGCAGCAGCAGCAGCGTCCGTGGGAAAAGATGGAAAGTAAAAGAGATTGGCTCCCGGCGCGCTCCGGCTCTTCCCTGCCCTGCGGCTTACCGTGACTGAGGCCGGCCGTGGCGGGGACCGGCCTGTCGCAGGGCGAGGCCTTGAGGCGGGAGGCGAGGCCTCCGCTGTTGTGGCGGTGGTAGTTGACCAGGTCCGGGATCGAGCCGCAGCAGTGCTTCTCAGAAAGGAAGAACTCCCCCCGGGAGTTCTGTTTGATGTGGTAGTGCTTGACGTGCGGGTGCGGCCTGCGAGGGAGGGAGAGTAAACACGTCAATACACTGAATGCAGCAGCCTCTAGCCGCCTTTTCGACTGCATATAGGCCTTGCGGTCCGGTGGGTACTCACACTTTCGTGTAGAGGGAGAGCGTATACAGGCCCTTGGTCGACGAGTTCCTCACCACGAAGCAGCCTTCCTTGTCCTCCTGCTTCAGGCAGGACTCGGCCCTCTGTCTCGACATGTCCCCGACATACCATCTGGGCGAAAAAGGAAATGGAGGAAAAGGGTTAGAGAGAATCGCACTTCCTGTCTCCGGAGATTCGGGGAGGGACGCCGGGGGGCACTCACTCGTATTTCTGCAGACCCAGCAGCTCCTTCTCCTTCACGTAGTTGCTGGGGATGTACCCGATGGCCCTGCGAGACAAGACGACTGCAAATAAAGGCCGAACAGAGACGGCGAATGCAAACAGAAGGCGGGTCGAAGCCGCCGGGCCGCCGGGCGCACACTTACCCGTTCTCGTCCTTGACTTTCCACCAGTGCTCCTGCGAGTCGTCCAGCACCTCGTACTCGGCGCCCTGCAAACAGAGACAAGGTTAGGCCCAAGGTCTCACCTCCCCCAGCCCACCGCAGGAAATTACAACGCCGGTAAGTCAAAACGACGCCGCCGCCCCTCTCACGGGCCCGGCCCGACCCTCACGGCCGCGAAAGTTTACACATTTAAGACGCGCGCAATGACCCCGCGCTCTATCCAGAGGTGCGGGCGGGGGGTGAGGGATGGGGGGCGCACGACACCGAGGGGAACATCCGCCATCCCTCTCCCCCCCCCCTTTTCACTGTCTCTAGGC